GTTCTTCGTTCAATGCTAACAGAACGACTGTCGAAAATGGTTAGACGCGATTATCCACAATACCCTAATACCCCTTTCACATTACAACGTATATCACGTGATATACGCTGTCTTGCAATGAGCACTCATACATCTAGTTTTCACTGGAAATCCTATGTATGAGTGCTCATTGCAAGACAGCCTATATTACATGATATAGGCTGTAACTTGAACGGGCTATTCAACTCTGCACACATTAATTGTTGCCGAGTTATTGAGTTGTACCGAAAGCTGTGCCAAGCGCTGTGCCGAACGTGTCTCTCAAGGTCAATCAAAGTATACCTATCAAGGCGTCAATATTCCATGAGTTTGGCAACCCTCAAAGTTATGACTTTTGTGATTGCGTTTACATTCTCAATTTCTCTGATGGATGGATGGCAAGCATTCAACTTCATTCTCATTAGAGCGTTAGCGGGTCAAGAGGTGGAAGCGGAACTGGAAACCATCAAACCAATATGGTGTTCAAGCTAATTCCATAAGATTCTGGCTCGATGTACTTTTGAATTGGTGGTTGTACAGAAACAAAGGAGAAACCCGATCGATGAAGAATGAAATTCTTCCCCGACTAAAGTAAACCCAGAACTGGAACTAGCGATAGCGCAATCCTACACTAGGAGCAACATCGTCGAAACAGTTTTAAAATCTGATCGACTCAGAAGTGCGTGTTCTCAAAGCCTATCGTATTGCTGATTATGATGCCTACTACCAGCTCCTAATTACACACCACCAAGCCTACCAAGCTACGATCTGATGCAGTTGAAGTACCTTCCGCAGTGTACCACCGATGAAAACTATCAAAAATCTCCCCCTGAACATTTGTCATACTTCGAAAATAGGATTCTCGGCAAGTGCAAACTTCAGCGGAAATGCTTTATCTGGCGCCTGTAGGTCTTTATAGAACTCGAGCAGATTCCGCTCAATCCACTCAGCTCCACACAGATGACAGACGTGGGCGATTCTTGATTCAAGAGCTTATAGCATTCTATGGTCATCCCTATAAAGTCGTGTGGCCATGCCAGTGAACTCCATGCCAATTGAGACTAATGACTGGCAAGAATCCAGGCGAGTAAGAGAGGTGCCACAGTCGGAGGAAGTGTTAGTTTGTTTACTTAAATGAACCATGTCCATTTTGTTATGGTATGTTTGCTATGAGAAATGCTCCTCGCGTTTATTAGCGAATTTCACATCAAAGATTGATTAATCGAGTAGGAAATCAGTTTGGCACGGCATTTGTGACCAGCATACACCTTCCAGTCGTATGAAACAGGTCAAAAACTGTACAAATCCGCAGATAAATTTATTTTGTTTTGAATTTCTGTATGGCAAAATAGTGAACTTTTCGTGACTATTAACGGCAAAGAACTCACCAATACTGGGAGACCGTGAGTTCCTGCCCACCTGTCATTTCCCATCTCGGGCAAGAATATCCGACCCCGAGATGTTTTATGACAGGTGGGCAGGAACTCACGGTCTCCCAGTGTTGGTGAGTTCTTTGCCGTTAATGTTCACGAAAAGTTCACTATTTTGCAATACAGAAATTCAAAACAAAAATTTGTATGGGCAGATTTGGACAGTTTTTGACCTGTTTCATACGACCGGAAGATGTATGCTGGTCACAAATGCCGTGCCAAACTGATTTCCTACGCAATTATTCAATCTTTGATGTGAATTTCGCTAATAAACACGAGGAGCATTTCTTAAACCATTTCTTATTTTAGTAAACAAACTAACACTTCTTCCTACTGTGTCACCTATGTATTAGGTGCCTAGATCCGACCCAGTGTTCACTCGGCTGTCGCCAGAAGCAGACCACTCTCAATGTGTGTCACGCGATCGTCTGTTTACTCGGCAGCAACCATTGTGTGGTCCTCCTCATTGTTCTTCATCAGCAGTTCTTGCAGTCGATGCGTCGTCGACTTTGGAAAGCAACCGTTTTGTCATGAGTGTGTGAGAGATGACCACGTTTTGCGTCCTCTGACCTCGTTGGCGAAACTGCCATAAAATGAAACCACTGGAAGCGGCTCCCGTTCTGGTGGAGGAGGTTTATTGGATAGCGGAAGATAATAGGTTTATTGTGTTGTACCTTTTGACTATAGTTTTAACACAGACAAACAGACATAACACTCGCAAGTTGTTCATCGAACAAGCATTTAACGGTCAATTTAAAAGTATCGTAGTTGGTAGTACCGCCACCTGTGGCGCGCATAGTTAATTCCCTTGCGTTTGACGTTTACACACTACCGCCATCTGTTCAGCGTACTAACCACCACACTGTATTCAACAGATGGCGGTAATGTTTAAGCGACGATGTTTTATAGTGATGAATATTCAATTTGTTATGTCTGTTTGTCTGTGGTTTTAAGATGTATTGTATAGTGAACAAGAATCCTCGGCTCTATAAAGTTAATTTGGTTGAGCCTTATCAAATAAATTAATAAATAAAAAAAAAAAGAATATCCGAGGAAAAACACAGGAGAAAATTTGAAAATTTCCCTCCCGAAGATACTCGGCAAGACCGGGAATCAAATCTGGCCACCCCCTATGATAAGCTTGTTTTCTTCTTTATCGTCCATTATGCATAATAAAATTGTTAATGTACCTCAACTCTCGCAGAAGATCGTGCTATGATCCTTCGTTGTATGCTTCGTATAAAATGCTAAGTTCAAAAATAAGAACTGTATTCTGGACTAAGGCCACCAATGGTTGACCTTTGGGAGAATGTGAGCAGCGTTGGGAAAGTTTGCGATATTTCACGAAGTTGCTATTTCGGATTTACTTCGTAAAAAGAGGTTTTTGAAAATATTGTCAAATACCCCACAATATTGGTATTTTTGGAATCGGAGTGACCTGTAGGAACTGAAAATTCATTTCTGAAACCGTGTTAAATTCTAAGATGGCGGCTTCCGGTTAGAGAATAACTCGGAAATACTGTGAAATGGCCCACAATATTGATATTCTTGGGCCCAGGGTTATGTGTAGGGACCAGAAATCCATGTCTGACGCTATTTTGAATTTAAGACGGTGGCTTCCGGTTATAGAAAAACTGGGAAATAATGAAGAGCTTTGAGTGGGTTGGTTTATTTCCTTTAAATTCCGTTATAATTGCTTATCTTTTGACAGATAAGGATTGGGAAATAATGCCAAATTTTCCACAATGTGGGTATTTTTGGAATCGGGGTGTAGCTTAGAGACCGGAAACCCATGTCTGAATAAAATTTGAAATCCAAGATGGTGGCTTCCGGTTACATACAAACTGAAAAATGATATCAAATAATCCCCAATATAAATATTTTAGCGATCAGGGTGACGTGTAAGAACCGGAAAGCTATGTCTGACGCCAAAAACTTCTTTAAGTTCTATAACTTGATATCGCGTTAGTGGATATCGAGTTGTGGAGAGTTGACTGTATTTACAAGATTCAAACCGGAAGCCGCAATATTTTAATTTCTGAATGGTGTCATACAAGGGTTTCCGGTCCCTACACGTCACCCAGGTTCCATAAATAACCATATCGTGGATGATTTGGCAGAAATTCCCAGTTTTTCTATATCATAAATTTAAAAATGGCGTCAGACATGGATATCCGGTCCCTTAGCGCCACTCTGATTCCAAAAATACCCATATTGTGGGGTATTTGAACGCATTTTTCAGTTTTTCTCTAACCGGAAGACGCCTTACTGAACGTCAAAATGGATGTGGGTTTCCGGTCCTTACACGTCACCACGATTCCAAAAATACCCATCTTGTGGTTAATTTTACAGTATGGCGTTAGACATGGCTTTCCAGTTACTACCCGGCACCAAGATTTCAAAACTACCCATATTAAGTGGTATTTGACAGAATGTCCAAGTTTTACTCTTACCGGAAGCCACCATCTTTGATATCAAAATGGCATTAGATTTCCGAAGTCTACACGCGTCCCAGATTCCAAAATACCCATAATGTGGTATTTGGCTGTGTTTACAGTTTTTCTGTATTCGGAAACCGGGATCTTGGATTTCAATATGGCGTCAAATATGAATCTCCAGTCCCTAAACGTCACCCCGATTTTAAAAATACCCATATTGAGGAGTATTTAACAGAATTTTCAATTTTTATCTAACCAGAAACCACCATCTTGGATTTCAAAATGGCGTCAGATATAGATTTCTTGTCCCTAATCGTCAACCCGATTCCAAAAATATCCATATTGTGGGGTATTTTTTTTGACAGTATTTTCATTCAAAGTGTTTTTATGTTACTTCATACGCGAAGTTTGCGATTTTCAGAGTTGGTTGGAAATGCTGTATATATGGGTAGTTAGCTACCATTTGCTTTGAAAAACTCAGTTTTGACAAAAACGACAATGGGACCGACATGCGATGTGCGGCAGTACAGCAAAAGCAAAAAACCAAGTGCGGATACACACCTAATGATTTCTATGGATTTCATTGGCTATAAATTAGACTTCAAAAACGAATCAATATTGTTTGTTTGTTTATTTGTTTAACGACCCTTTTACGTTCGAATAAATATCGTTCATCTCCATTCCTAACACGCCAACCAAAACCAATCGTAATCCGGTCGCAGATTCAAATCCTTTGCGTAATAGTTGGGAAAACAGACGCAAACGATAATGCAACCATTGATGGGTGCGCTACATGGCGCTACTTTTTTGTTTTGTTTTATTCTTCTCATCGATAACAAGTATGCAAAGCGTGATAAAGGTCATATTCATTCAACCGTCACTAATGGCAGTTGACATGTTTTGTTGTTATATTACGTGTACCACCTGTACGCCATGGAGCGTCATCCCAGGTAGTCCCTCGTTGTCTGGAAACATCACACACCATCCTGCCGTTAACGTTAGTTAACATTATGGACGGGTCTACCACCTACTGAGCCGTCCTTATGCCGTGGGAGCACCTTCGAAAGAATTACGCATTCCGATTTGATTCAAACGTTGGAAAGTTTATTTGACGTAAAAAGAGCTGCATAAAGCAACAATTCGATCTAACTGACAAGGAACATAAAATACTAATATCATCACATCAAATCACGCATCTGAATCTCGAGAATATCACGCAACACCTTCAAATCGCCCAGAATTTCCATATGCCCAACGCCACTGTACTCCCTCACATGAACGGGCTGTTTTTGTTCACTGGCCCAATATTTGCAAGCTTCCAAGGATATTCTGTTGATTGTACCGTCCCCGTCACCTTGAATGAACTCCGGTGTCCCGGTCAATTCGTAGGCTTCACCGTAGTCTAGCCTGGAAATGTAAGATCGACGTCAATGCCTTAGCTAAGATGCCATATCTGAATGGTATTACTGTTCGATGGTGGGAACATTGGTTCCATAAAAGCAGTATATCTCCACACCAGGAGCAGTGAAATTTTTCACATATGGTAACACATCTTGGTACATCTCCCACCCCAGTGGAAAGTCAATGTCCCTGAAAGGAAGCATATAATAATAATAAGTAATATGTCTTGCATCGCCAGACATACGCAACTCACTCATAAAAATCTTGTAGGTTCTCCAATGTGTAGACTTTGGTTTTGGTTTTGGCCAAAATAGTCTGCGGCTTCCAAAATAACGGATTCGGCATCATCCAGGCCAGAGATGGGGTTGTTATTTGAAGTGCACGAAGTGCACTACTGCTCACAATCCACGAGCCCAAATCATCACCCATGGCGTAAACCTTCAACGATTTGACCGTACCTCCCCAGGCGCCATTCAACGAAATCACCCGTTTGATGTACTTATCCTTCCACTCCTGCGGTTGCCCCTGAAGAAACTGCAGAACCATTGGACCACCCATGCTGTGCACAATCAACGTAACCGGTGTGTCGGAATTCAACTCAAAAGCACCTTCAATTTCCTTGGTCAACCAAGTGTAAAACAAATTAAACTCGTCTGCAAGATGAACAAATGCATAAACATCAACCATTGTTACGTTGAACCAAACTACTCACAGTAAGGCAATCTAAAATCATAAGGAGCACTCTGTACCGAGAATCCTCGGATATAGCCATTGGCAACTAGTGTGTCCACCAGATTTACATAGTATGCACAACGGCTGGACCGAGAACGGCACAACCACTCCACCGCATCGGAATATCCCCATCCCGCCACTTGAACGGTCACTCCAGGTGAGCTTTCTGTAGTTCTCGACTCGTTGTTATACACCAACCGTAGATTGTCCGATAGGCAATTAATTGCAAACGGAGCCAAATTTTCCACGTTAAGCCAAATGTCGTAGAAAGCATCCGTTTTCTTACTGCATAAAAAGCTAACACGGCTTGGCTTGTCGAGTTTGGCTTCCAACCGACTTCCACCCAGTCCTGGAACTGGAGTACAAAAGATTCACCATTTTTGTTTGAAGGATAACAATTGGAGCAACAGAAATGGCGGTTACTTACCAAGAATAACCGGGGATGGTATTTTGTCGGGATCCCTCGATAAATTCAACGGCTGGAGTTTGCTGCCTATATCTTCTATGTATGGAATTCGACCAATAGTGAATGTGTGAATGCCATACGCAACCGAAGCGAGCAGCTGAAGGAAAATCAAACTCACAAAGCACTTCATTATTGTGGAGAAGGTAAAATCAACGTACTGCAAGCGGACTATTGTTTGCGATAATGAGCTGTGATTCCAAGGTACAACAAACAAATAGGATAGACTATCACGAAACGTTACACATCGTTATGCAACGTTGATTGATGTTAAAGTAACGCTGTTGGAAGCGTTTACATCCTGTAAACGCTTCCATGAAACGAGCATGTTAGATGTTAGATCTGGTTAGACTATAGTCGCTATATTCATAGTCTGGAGGATAGAATTTCGATTTATCAAAAAGCGGAACCAATTCTATGTATTGTAGACCAACAATTGAAAAGGTACTATGAACTTTCATAAACAAAACGTTGATTATTCTTTCCTCGAAACTCGCTCTCCTTTCGTGTGGCAATTCTGCCCCGGGATCTGATAGAATCAAGTTCAACTTGCTGAAAAACCTCCCAGACGTCGCTAAGAGGCGCATGTTGAACTTGTACAATCAGTTCTTGGAGCTCAATATTGTTCCCGACGATTGGAGACGAGTGAGGGTGATAGCCATTAAAAAGCCTGATAAACCCGCGTCGGATCACAATTCGTATCGGCCCATCGCGATGCTGTCGTGTATTCGGAAATTGATGGAGAAAATGATCCTTTTTCGCCTCGACAAATGGGTTGAGACGAACCACCTTCTTTCAGATACTCAATTTGGTTTCCGTAGGGGTAATGGAACGAACGACTGTCTCGCGTTGCTTTCCTCGGAAATTCAGTTGGCTTTTGCTAAGAAAGAGCAAATGGCTTCTGTGTTCTTGGATATCAAGGGGGCTTTTGATTCAGTATCCGTTGAAGTTCTTTCAAAGAAACTCCACGTTTGTGGATTGTCTCCATTAATTAATAATTTTTTGTACAATTTGCTGTCAGAAAAACATATGAGCTTTTCTCATGGAAACTCTACAGCTTTTCGATTTAGCTACAGGGCCAAAAAAGGTTGACCTGCAAGGACCCTTACAGGATACCTTGGACAATTTGTCTACTTGGGCTATTCAGCTAGGTATTGAATTCTCCACGGAGAAAACTGAGTTGGTCGTTTTTTCTAGGAAGCATAGCCCAGCACAACCGAAGCTTCAACTTTTGGGTAAACCGATCACTCATTCCATGTCTTTTAAATATCTCGGGGTCTGGTTCGATTCCAAATGCACCTGGAGGTCCCACATTGAGTATCTGAGACGAAAATGCCAACTAAGGATCAATTTCCTTCGATCAATTACCGGAACGTGGTGGGGAGCCCATCCACAAGATCTTCTGACGTTGTACCGGACAACGATTTTATCGGTTTTACAGTACGGTAGTTTTTGCTTCCAGTCGGGAGCTAAAACGCACATCATCAAGCTGGAACGGATCCAGTATCGTTGTCTTCGCATCGCGTTAGGATGCATGCACTCGACTCATACTATGAGTCTCGAAGTGCTGGCGGGCATGTTGCCACTATCCGTCCGTTTTTCAGAGTTATCTCTGAGGCTCCTCACCCGTTGCGAAGTAATGAACCCACTAGTGATCGAAAATTTTGAGAAGCTTCTGGAGCTAAATCCTCAAACATGTTTTATGACTTTGTACTACCTATATTTAACACAGGATGTCAGCCCTTCAAGAAATATTGTAGTCTTCTCCGATTTCGGCAATTCAGTGAATTTTGATTTATCTATGACGCAGGAAATCCACGGAATCCCAGAGCATCATCGTCCTATGATTGCTCCGTCATTATACGCTGCAAAGTTTGGCCATGTTGATTCTGCAAGAACGTTTTTCACAGATAGATCTTTTATAGAGGAGTCCGCTGGTTTTGGTGTATTTAATGAATTTCATAGCGCCTCTCGAAAACTTGAAGCTCCTTGTTCTGTGTATGTGGCTGAACTGGCAGCAATTCACTACACTTTGGAAACTATTGCTTCACTTCTTCCACACCACTACTTTATTTTTACGGATAGTCTCAGTTCTGTCGAGGCTATCCGTTCCATTAGGCCGGTAAAGCACTTCTCGTATTTTCTCTTGAAAATACGAGAACTGCTTAGTGCTTTATCCGTGCGCTCTTTCATCATCACCTTCGCGTGGGTCCCTTCGCATTGCTCAATTTTGGGCAATGAGAAGGCGGATTCACTTGCGAAGGTGGGCGCTATGGAAGGCGACATTTATGATCGACGGATCGCCTATAGTGAATTTTTTTCTTTTTATCGTCAGCAGTCGCTCGTTAGCTGGCAACATCAATGGAGTGAAGGGAGCTTGGGACGATGGCTACATTCAATTATCCCTAAGGTGTCGAAGTTTGCATGGTTCAAAGGGTTGGACTTGAGTCGAGACTTCATACGCGTGATGTGTCGTCTCATGTCCAATCACTATTGTCTAAACGCTCACTTGTTCCGTGTGGGGTTGGGAGACAGCAATCTCTGTGAATGTGGACAAGGTTACCAGGACGCTGATCACATTCTTTGGTCTTGTGCGGAGTATCGTGGAGTCAGATATCATTTTTATGATTCCCTTCGGGCTCGAGGTAGACAACCTAATATTCCAGTTCGGTATATTTTGGCTAGACGCGATCTAGAGTTTATGAAACTCATATTTGTTTACTTTAAGGATATTAACCTTAGATTGTAAGTTTGATTAACCTTGTGTTTAGTTTGTGTTTTGTACGTCTGAGTTTTTTTTTTTTCAATGTTTGTTTTCAAGATGAATAGAAATAATTTCATGCTTTAGGATTAATTAAATAGTTGTATCGTAAACCACATTTAAAACCTCCATCTTCCCTTTTCCCATCCAAAAAATTGTAAATCTCCACTAACCTCGAGACGACCGCGAGTACTCGGTCCAGTTCCTTTAACTTTAAATATAAGACAGTAATAATGTATAACGCAAAGGATAACTCGGCTCTGTAAAGTTTATTCAATTGAGCCTGTACAAATAAAGTAATTACAAAAAAAAATATTCTTTCCTCGTTAATCGAACGCAAATTACCAGCATCATCGGATAGGGGAAACTTTCCCCAACCCAACGATGGCATTAATTTGCAAAGGCGCGTCTGTAGTCACGAGAAAAAGGGTTCCGAAGTTTTCCCGAGATTCTAAAGGGTGTCCACGATTAAATTGCCACTCACAAAATTGATTCGCAAAATTCGAGTTTTCATCCGATTGCCATCAAATTTTCAGGGATTGAGAAATAACTATTAAACTTCATTTTAACAATTTTACTCGTATTTTATTTACAGTCCATACGCAAATGCCCGCACCTTGGCCTTAACTCCGGCCATAAGATTCTGCACAACCTGTGGATCAACCGTTTTTTGCATGTAAACCCATACTTTCTTCAGTTCCTCGACTGTCTTCACTACCTTAGGTCGTTTAAGAAGGTGCTGCTTCATAATCGCCCAGTACTTCTCGATGGGGCGGAGCTCCGGAGTGTTGGAAGGGTTGAACATTTTCGGCACGAAATTGACCTTATTGTCCGCATACCACTTCAGCACGTCCTTGGAGTAGTGGCATGAGGCCAAATCCGGCCATAAGATTGTTGGGACGTTGTGGGCCTTCAGGAGAAGAAGCAGCCGCTTCTGGAGGCACTCTTTTATGTACACCTGTCCGTTCATCGTGTCCTGGGTCACGAAAGGTGCACTCCGCTTCCCGCACGTGCAGATGGCTTGCCAAACCAGGAATTTCTTCGCAAATTTGGACATCTTCTGAGTGCGGACATGCTCCGGAACGCTGAACTTATCCTTGGCCGTGAAAAACAGGTTGCCGGGGATCTGTTTGAAGTCGGCCTTCACATATGTTTCGTCGTCCATGATGCAGCATTCAACTTTCGTCAGCATGTTGAGGTACAACTTCCTGGCACGGGTTTTGGCGGACTTGTTCTGCTTCTCGTCGCGATTAGGGGCCTTTTGTACCTTGAACGTTCGAAGCCCAGCCTTAGTTTTGGCCTTCTGGACAAAACTTCGGCTTAGGTGCAGCTTCTTAGCCACATCCCTAACGGAGGCGTTAGGATTTCGGTTGAAGGCCCCAACTACGCGGTTGTGATTTTTGGTGTTGTACGGAATACTTTTTCCTTCACTTCTGGGCTTCCGATCGGTGGTCAACCGTTCCTCGAACCGCTTAATCACTCGCGACACCGTGGAATTCGCGATTCCCAACGTTTTAGCGATGGAACGATGCGAGAGATCCTTGTTCTCGTGATGAATGCGCAAGATTTTATCACGCACGAGCTGTTCTTTCGACTCCATTTCCGCGAGTTTTGATCACAGGACTTTAAAACTTGCAGGATGTAAATAATGCACTATGAACTAAATCCACCCAAATTTTCATTAAATTCTACCCAACGGTTAAAAAGTTAGAGCAATTTCATAGTGTGGCAATTTCATCGTGGACACCCTTTATCCGCCAGACTATGAATATAGCGACTATAGGTTAGACTATACTGCCTATAATCGCATATCAGTCCCATATGGAAAAAATAGGCATTGATAAAATGGCAATCTAAATTACAAAGTGCAATTCTCATGCAAATATTTGAAAAATCATATTAAATTTAATCATAATTTGTTTAAGTTAAAATGAGTTGCATTGAAGCTGGCATATCAACGAAAAATCTGGCAACTCAAAAAGCAGAACTTTAACTTGTCTTATGGCCGATTGAAATTCCTGATGGGACTGATATTATCATTTGCACCGTCGTCGCGAGTAGTTTGTAGAATTTAAAAAAAAAAACCGAAATTGTGTAACAAATGTTTTCAGTTATATACTGCCTATAATCGTATATCAGTCCCATAAGGAAAAAGTAGACATTGAGAAAGTGGCCATCGAAGTTACGAAGTCCAATTCCCATGTAAATATTTGAAAAATCATAGTAATGATAGTGATTGTTATTAAGCTTAATCAGGGTTGCTTCCACTCACTTGCTATAAAAACATATTGATGTTATATGTTATATGTTATGACATAGTTATATGACATATAGTTCGGGTTAAGCTCGCTCTCGTGAGTTGTTCGGAAAGATATTTTTTGAGATAGTGTTCGCGCCCTTTCGTACGTGATTTGCCGTGCGTGTGTGTGTGC